TTCCTCAGTCCAGTTGTGGAGGACGCCGCCCCACCGGCCCAAGTTGGCACCATCACTGCGCTCCTCCCTGGAGAGGCAGATCAGTCGCCGGCCTCTGGACGGCCGCTCACTGCGGCTGCTGGCCGCTCACGCTGGCTGCTGGCTACACACGGTAGCCCATGGCAACCCACTGCCCACAGGGACTGCAGCCCACGCCGCCGCCAGCGACCCACGGCAGCCCAGCTCCAGGTCGAGCCGCCGTTCAGCATCCTAGCTGCGGAGGGCAGTGTTCACTGGCCCTCATATGCGGGATCCGAACCGGGGCCCTCTGACATCCCAAGCGAGTTCTTAACCATCGCGCCACTCGGCCGGCCCATAGCCCTCCCAATTTTTAATGGTCACACTCAGGTGTGGGACCGGCCCATTCCGAATCTCTATTCCTCCTACCAGGCTCGAGGTGGCTTCTCCTGTATGTAGTTGTAGGGCTTCGGTTCAGTTAGACTTCTGGCGACTCTCAATAATGGTTGTTCTGTGGTTTAGTTGTAATTGATGTGGTACTGAAAGGAGGTGAGCAGAGCATTTACCTACTCTGCCATCTTGACCGGAAATCCTACATCCACGTGTTCTTAATTTCAGTTACCGTATTCCTTATTTCTAGAATTTTTGTTTGATTTCTTAAAACTGTTTTACATACTATTAGTTATTTTTATATTTTTCCATCTTTATTGAGTGATACTTGAAGTACAATTAACCACATAGATTCAAAGTGTAAATTTTATAATCTTTGATATATTTATATTTCCATGTATTAGTTATCTATGGCTGCATAACAAATTAAAACAATTTTAATGATAATCATCATATCCTCAACTCATATCGCCCACTATTCCCTCTTATTATTGCTATTTGTGGACTTTTTGGTCACTTCTCAGAACTCATTAAAAACTATAGACCCAAGATCATAGTCCTTCTAAATACTCTATTGTCATAGTCAAATATTGGCAAATTGGGATTCCTTCTCCTCCTCCTCTTCCTCCCCCTTCTTTTCATTGTCGTTGTTGTTATATTTAGTTCTTTCTCTCTCTCTCTCTCTCTAAAAGCGACAAACTTCATCTCCCAAGCTTCTATGACAATCACCTGGTTTTGTGATTTAATTATCAGGCAATAACCAAAAACATTCACAAGTGCTAATGTTTAAGTAAAAGAAAATACCTTTTGTTCTAAAACAGTAACCAAAACTGTAACATCAGATATTTAGGCCTTATTTTAACCAATTCAAAATTTATCTTAACTATTTATAAGTATAAAGTAGAACCTAAAAATGTTGTTTTGCTATAATCACTGCATTGACACAAGCTTTAGTACATTTGTCACCAAAGCATAAATTTCTATTTATGAAATGAAATTTTTTGAAAAGGTTGAAATGTCTTAACTATCATACTAGGACAACAAAATTCAATAGGAATTTTTAATAGGACAAGGAATATTCCACCTAGTTATATAATAAAAATGGGTTAGATTTTCTCATGTTAATTTATAAATAGAAATATATTTATAGATCAACTAATTTAGAGGTCAACTAATAAAAACTAATGTAATATAATAACTGTCATAATAAAAACTATGATTATAAGCAGATTACTTAATCATTCCTTTTAATATTTATACAAAATTTATGCAATGATGAAAATGTCTTTTTTAGAATATTTGACTATTGAGAACTTAAAATATGGTTTGTTCCTCTAAAGAATTTATTTTAAAATTTTTATTAATATTAATTCACTTAATTATATTTAGTGATATAGCCACATGTGCCTAGTGGCTACTATATTAGATAAAACATAGTAAAAAATACTGAATAACTTAGATGCCTCAAAATATTTTAATTTCAATTAATATTTACTGATCATCTATTATATCCAAGGTACTATTTAAATATTAAAGTATTACAGTATAGATGCAAAGCCCATATGTAATCCTTGAGGTCCCCATTCTAATTATACATAAGCCATTAACTCATTTAAAAAATTGATGATATTTCTCATTGCACCCAGAAATTTAGGGGCAAATTTTGAGGAGGCAAGGTTATTAGAATCAGACAACATTGAGCACTGATAAAGAAATCATTAGAACTGTGAAAGAAAAACTAAAACCACAACTAAACCAGTCAAACAAACACATTCCAGACCAGGCCAGTAGTCCAGGGTCATTGAGTGTTAGGGTGAGTATAGTTTCTTGAAGTTCCTCTAATATAAGAAGAGAGTAGAGCAATAATGTTCAGTATAATTCATCTAGGAAACGTAGAAGCTTTGAGTATGCTCTACTTAGGAAGAAACAGCATTTTTAGTATATTCATAACATACATTACAAGTCATTGACATAATACAACTTTTTCCCAAATTAATGACAACAATGATAACATTTTATTTCATTTATAAATTACAGCATCAGTTAGAATTCTTTGTGTCCCAAATGGCAAAAAGTCTACTTTGTGGTAGAATTAATTGAAAAAAAAGCTACATTGGCTTTTATAACTGAGAAGTTGAACAGGATTGAAAATTAACTTACACAAAATTCTATTACCTATCTAGAAACCTAGTAAGAAAAAAAAAAAAAGAATACAGTGGGGCATATAATTGTTGTGAAATATTTGAAGACCTGACATGTAGAAAGGGAATGAAGAACTGAGCCATATTATTTTAACAGCTTCACAGATTATTCCTTTTAGGGGAAGAACTGTATTCATCTAGGAAACATCTGGTCAGAACACGTTACTTGCTAGATAACGGAGTGAGGGAAGGAAAAGCGGTATGTGCCTTGAGGACACAGTCTGTGAGAAGGCAGCACAAAACCAAACTGAAGGGCTAGCCTGCTCTCTGAATAGGAACTAAAGGCAAGGCAGGAGCCCAAAGAGAACAGAGAAGAGACTACCGAACGTGGCGAGAAGGTTGGAGACTATGATAATTGTGGTCAATGGATATTTACAATAGTTTAGTAGCTGAATGATTTAAAAGCAAGAGTGTGTTGGGCCGGCCAAGTGGCGCATTGGTTAATAACTGGCTTGGGATGCCAGAGGGCCCCGGTTCAGATCCCATATATGAGGGCCAGTGACACTGCCCTCTACAGCTAAGATGCTGAACAACAGCTCGACCTGGAGCTGGACTGCCGTGGGTCGCTGGCGACGGCGTAGGCTGCAGCCCCTGCTGCAGTGGGTTGCCATAAGCTACCATGTGTAGCCGGCAGCCAGCGTGAGCAGCCAGCAGCCACCTTGAGTGGCCGTCCAGAAGCCAGCGACTGATCTGCCTCACCTGGGAAGAGCGCAATGATGGTGCCAGCTTGGGCCAGTGAAGCGACAGCCTCCACAACTAGACTGAAGAACAAAACAATAGCAACTTTTCTGTTCCCCTTCCCCCGGCTCCCCAATAAAATCTTTAAAACAAAATAAAAATAAAAAAAAAACATAAAAGCAGGTGTGTAATATTTTCTTTTAATTAATTGTGTTGCTCAAATATGACCAAAATATAATGCCTCCCTCAATCTATCCATACTTTCCATGAAACCATTAGAACAATCTGCTATAGGGACAAATAATTTGGGTGTTTTCCTTGTTGTTTTGGGTTTGTTTGTTTGGTTGGTTTTAAGGAATGGGAAATAGAGAGGCATCAAGGTAAAGTGAGTTCTGGGTCCAGCTGGGTAAGGAACAGAGAGGAGAGAATAGCCATGGGAGGTGAAATGCAAATGAGGAGGCAGCAGAAGCAGGAAATCACAACCAGAGACACACATTCATTTCAAGATAACAGGCTGAATATAAATTTATTGTATTGTATGGTGACGACCTCCCTCCTACAATTCCACTAGGGTCTCAGAAGAAATAAAAATAAATGAAAACACAATCATGCAGAACAGGCAAAATAGAGATGCCATGATGAGAACGGTAATACATCCCTTAGAGACAGACAAGAATAGATTGATGGCAAAACCCAGGAAAGCAGAGAACCCAAAATCTCATTAGGACAACAACACTAACAACAACAAATGGCCATCTGAAATCTGTGAGGTTACCCTGAAGCCTCTCTGATGAATCTTAAATTAAAAGCAGCAGAGGCTAGGGAAAGACATAGGCTATGGGCATTGCAGCAAGAAATGATGGAAAGGGCAGGTGAGCTAACTATCCAGTCACCTTCACGGCAACTGACTCCAACTGTTGGCCTCAGATAAAACTTGCACTGTGGCTCTGAAATGCATGTTTAAATTGGAAGATTATCAAAGGGTGATGGGAGAAGACCAGCACGGCAGGCCCTCAAACACTTCTACCAGGAAGATGAGGAGCCATGATATCCGGAGGGAGAACCACATGTATCACAGGGTGATGGCAAGTTCTTCCATCTCCTGCACAATCAGTGACATCAGGACTCCTCTATTCAGGGTTCTAAGTGTTTCTGCAAAATAGGTTCTTTGAGGTACAATCATAGAATTTGGGACATACCTTGGTCATGGCAATTATTACGTTTTATTGTAATTATTTACTAATACATTCAGCTTCCCTAGAAGCTGTCATCTATGTGGGACAAGATAAGGGCATTCTCTTTCTACTTTCAAGTGAAATACAGTGCCTTGTTGTATTCATTCTCTAGAGTTGCCTGGGCTGCTTAAACAATAGCAATTTATTTTCTCAGAAATCTGGAAGTTGGCAGCCTGAGAGCAGAGTGCCAGCATGGTCAGTTTCTAGTGAGGACTCTCTTCCTGGCTTGCAGGCAGCTGCCCTTTCACTGTGTGCCCACGTGGCCTTTCCTCAGTGGATGGAGACAGAGCATGTACTCTGTCTCTTCTTATGAGGACACTAATCTTAAGATCTTACTTAACTGCACTTACTTCCTTAGAGGCTCTATTGCCAAATACAGCCACACTGGGTTTAGGGCTTCGACATATGAATTTTAGTGGGGCACATTCAACCCATAACGCTCACACATAAAATGTTAGCAAAATATGGTTTGTCAATTAAGTGGATTAGTGAAATTATAAGCTATACAAGATCAAGGAAATATCCTTTAATAAGTTTTATGCATACAGTTAACCTTTTTATTAAATGGAAGCTCTTCAAATGCTCCCATTGAGTGTCATTTTTAACCATACAAACCACAAAATACTTTTTTTTTTTTTGAGAGCAAGACGCGTTTGTGGGAAAGGATGTTATTTACTTACGTTTCTGTTGGAATTGTAAATGGAGTCATTCTATAATTCAAAAATGGACTTGATATCTCAAGAAACTGTACAGGCTTCTTTATTATTAATTCTAAAAAAGGACAGGAAGTGTGATGTACTTTTTTTTTTTATCTTCTAAGATTACATGCAGAACTTAACATTTAATGCTGTACTAATTATATCACTATTTACCCAGCAAATTTCAATAGAGCTAACCAGGAATGTCCTAGAATACATAAGAGCTTTGTTTTTTAATTGAAAAGGCTTTATAGATCATGCCAATGTGAGATTTCTTTAGCTTATTCCTCAGTTGCTTTTCAGATTTACAGCGTGAAACAGTGAATTCTCAATGGAGACTGTTAGCAGCGTCTTCTGGAGTTATTAGTTGGTATTTGCTGCTCTTTCAAGTACAGGAATCACTTTCTATAAAAGTATTTCACTAAAAATTGTATTCTCTTAGTTAACCTCTACCACACAATTGCTCAGCACGTGAGGCGGAAACGTGGACTAATACATGGAGATAGTAGTGGAAGAACGGACATGTAACAAGCAAAGTCAAGGTCGTGTTTAAAAAAGACAGCAGTAGGTCAAGAAAGGACATGTGGCTATTCCTAATGGAGTCTGAAACTAATCTAGAAGTAAGAAATTCTCAGTGGAAATGGGCCACAGCCCTTGCACTCACATGGTGAACCCTGAAATTAAACATTAGGGAGGGCTATTTTAACAAAAGCTCCTGCTATGGTGGGAAGGGTGCCCACTGACAGAAAAAATGAGGCTCTGACACATGCACACGACTTTTCTGTGCTTGCCCCGTGGTAACTCTAAAATGATCTCTTTCTTCATTTTCTATTAATTTTCACTTTAAATATTAAACCCAATAGAGAGAAGAAAGATACTCATGTCCTGAGCCTCAGGGTAGGACACTGCAATTATGGAAACCCACCAATCTTTAGATTTTCTTCCCCAGTTTACAAAAGCAATCACCCACATAGAATTATGCAATGATCAGTAGTGAAAGCAGAAAATACCTGCACATTCACCGTTTTTCCTTTCATTCATCAATTCCTTGGTGAATGAACTGGTTTTAATTGTGGCTCCATGCATTTAACTAAAATATTGCATTTAAAATATTGTCTTTCCTTTTTAACTGTCATATGGCACTTTTGGGCACCATCAGCCCATTGCAGAAACACAAGGAATGTAAAGAAATGACTGAAACAATCAATCAGCGGGGAGAGAGGCAGATAGGCCAGAAAAATAACAACAAAAAATGACCATTTCTCTTCTCCACCCAAACCAGATATTTCTTTAATCTGTGTTCTTTTCTGGTAAGGAAAAAAAAAAACCAAAAACATTTTGTGCTGGAGAAATCTTTGCTACCAGCTGTACTGGTTGTATCAATGTAGGCAGAAAGCAAATGTGAAGAAAACGACATGATTAAGAGTTGTGATTTATTTATTTTTAATTGTGGAAATTATGGTTGGAAGTAGAAGGCAGGGAATATGTATGTATTTCAATATGTGTGGCTATTGCAGTTTTAGGATCCTGAGTATCACTGAGACTTATGTATTAATATTACACTGTTACCAAGATATGGTAACAAAGTCGCCTACAGTGAAGGATCAGCAACACTAGACTCGGTAGCAGGAGCCACACCAAGCATCACCAATAGGGGTATGAGCCATGGTGCAGGGGCCCAAATGCTTGAAGCACATTTGTAAGCATCACAGCAATGCCTTCTATAAACTGGTGCTAGGTATGTTCATTGTGGCTTTGCTTTCATTGTTCATTCAGGTGACAGGTTTGTGAACACAACTGCTAATGCAATAACCTCTAGAACATGATGTACTATTGCTGAATGAATACACTTAGACAATAATGAGGTATTAGAAAAGACAAAGGGAGAAAATGCAAAAGCAAGGAAATGAACACAAAAATGCTGTTGTTATTAAACATAATTGAAGTTTTTTGGATATATATATATATATATATATATATATATATATATATATTCCATAGCACTTCAGGTTTTTATCATCCTTCATTAAAAACTGCAAATGCTAAAGTAACTATGGAAAGGCTATATATGTTAAAACATATACAAATGATGAGTTATTCTCCTAGAACGCAATTTTTAAATTACCAGTGTTCCTTTTTTTAATCCTATCTTGTGCTCCTACTTTAAAATTGATTTTTTATTTATGGGCTCATGCATTTCTTCTCTTGCCACCTTGGTCTCTCTCCCATTCAAACTTGGTGCTCATGGGAAAAGGAGTAAGAATGAAGACTCGTAGAGAAAAATATTGAAGGAGGAAAGAGTTAGACATGAATCATGAGGAATTTAGAAATGAACTGAGAGAATAAGAGCAAAGTGGGAACAGGTCCCCCCGTGTGAAATCTGTTTCTTTCTGAGGCTAACTGCCATTCATTAAGTGGCTATATGACCATGTAACACAGGAGGCAGTCGAGGGCGGAAGTTCTATTCCTACAGGCGTTCTAAACAGAAATCCGTTCATTGAAAGATCATGTTACTCAGGGCATCCTAGAATGATTTCCATATTAGAAATTCACTCCAGTGGCTTCACATATGCTATTTAAGGTTCCGTGTTATATTTATTACAAACCACTTTTACACCATCATAATAATCACAATGCCATCATCCAATGAATGGCCTTGATATAGTTGGTCAGCTTAGACACGAACCAAACTGCACAACTTCTGAGATGTGGAGAATTAATCCTTTAAAGATATAAAATCTAGACATAAAATTAAAGGAAGGCTTTCGGTGTAATGTTGGGTGGATTGCCTTGATATACATCTTTCATTACCAATGAAATTATTAGAACTTCACATAGAGAAACATTAGGGAGATTTTCAGACAACATGAACCATACCTTGAGCTTCATCTGTTATAACAGTTTCTTTTTTTTGACGAAAGAGTTTCCAGGGAGGCACGGGCGCTGGTTTGGGTGGAGCTACAAGAGGGCAAGACCTGGTTCTGGTCACCAGCACAGGATGGCTACAAATGTGGGACAGGCCATATTCTCGCAGCTTCTCAGCCGAGGTGGACTAAAAGGTGGACGGTAGGTGTCAAAGAATTCTTGCAATTGTTTCATGCATGTAAAATAGTACTTTTTGTCATCATAAAAACACTATTACCATGATGGAGATGTAGTGGTAATAAAGAAAAGAAAAGAACCACTCATATTTCTACCTCTCTTAGCATAAGCACTAGTATCATTTGTATTTCTTTCCATCTTTTACTTTTTCTAGGGCCTCATTTTGTTATATACAAATGAGGGACTAGGCCAATAAGCTACTTTTAAGTGCTAAGAGTTTAAGATTCTATGAGTATTGCAAAAACCAGCCCATCAGTTTGGGTCTAGAATTAATCAATCATTATTTTTATAGGTCAAAACTTGGATACAAATACTTAATATGTAAAGTCTTTTTTTGTTAGTTTTTGTGGGTTGTTTTTTGTTTTTTTTTTTAAATCACCAGCAGTTGCTACATAATGTTAAAAAAATCCACTGCATTTAGTGGGTCAGGTCAACAAGGTGATAAGTTGATTGCCTTAGCTACAGTGTATGCCTCATCCCCAAACAGCAGCTCCCCCGCAGGAAATCCCCGTGGCCACTCCTGACAATGGAGCTGTTCATAGAAGGACCCAGAACAGAGGCCGCCCTCTATCCTGCAAAACCAGGCAGTCTCCATGCACATGCTTCCCATATTCCTCTGTTGAGATCTCCTGAAGCCACTTGGCTTTGGAACAGTTCAGAATAATACTTAAGCAGAACTTCGGTTACTGATTGATGCCTACAATGTGGCATAAGAAATCAGGAAGTACGTGAAAGTTAAAGGAAGCAATACTGTAGTCACATTCTGATGTTCACAGTCTAAATGTTGAAATATTTAAAGTAAAATAAACTATTAGCTACATTAAAGGCAGTTTCACCAAAACTGTGTCTCTTCCTAGTGATTTTGCATCATTGATTGCAATGCTTGAAAATATAAATTTATAAAGCTGTCATTGGGACCAGAAACCCACCTATCAACTTATTCCAAATTATTGCTTCAGCTATCAATAGAACATGCCCAGCTCTTGTGACTATTTCTCTATAGTTCAATCTATACTTCAGGGAAGCACAAAATAGGAAGGGGTATCTGTGAGACACGACAGTTCTTCCTGAATTCAGGGATTAATGAATCATTGCAATAATTAATTAGTAATTGTAAGAAGGAGTTCATTGGTGCTCTATTGATGAGCCATTTAAATGTGTGTAAATATTCAAAATAAAAAGTGATTTGATGTTTGACTTTTAAAGACCTAATTAAAAAGTAGGTGAAATCGCCACATCCCCTTTATCCTTTTTGTGGGTGTTAGTAATTTACTGGAAAAAAAAATCAGAAACTATGAAATTATGCCTTAGAGTGACCTAAAAAAATTATTTTTTGTAGATGTTCTAAAGTCTAAACCTTTTTTCTACAACTTTAGCCCTGTCAAATTTTTGAAGTTTTTCAACACTTGAAAGTAATCTTTTTCATGAGAATTTATAGTAGAATTTATGGATGTTATTCAGTAAGAAAATGTTTCAGTTATAATAACAAAAAGTACATCACTATAAAATTTACATTTAAATAACATCCCAAATAGATGTCATAGTCAAAGTAGTATTTGTAAGCTGAATATTTTCAAGATAGTTTACTATCCATAAAATTTGGTACATATCTTAATTTCTTCTTACAATTGCAACCAAAGTTGTAGTCTACTTACTTTCTTTTTCTGAGCTGCCAAGCATTAAAAAATAAAACAATTTAAAGCATTTTGAAAATGTAAGGTATTGTGTCAAATGATTAAGTACCTATTGTATTGTTTGAATAGTCCACACAAGTACTAGCCTGATTTAAGGTATGTAAGCCAATTTCTCATACTTCATTTTATTTCCAACACACTACACAATATTTCTGAATGATGAAAAGTAATACTATTAACAATAGTTACAGTTTGATGTTTAGAAACTTTGTTAAAGGATCTCAAGTTTCCTTAGATTCAAGTTAGGGAGAGGAATTTAGAATAATGAGGCATTTTAGTGAAATGCTGAGTAGGCACTTAATAAATATTTTAAAATAATTCATGTGTGAAGACTTAAATCTGAAGTTCTCTTGCCCATAAGACCCTTTCATTCCTTTCCCCCATCCCACCTCAAACATTCTAAAAGTAGGGGTTTGAGGAGGAGGGAGAGGCTTTTTTAGAACTCCCAGATCACCTATTCGAATAAAAATAAAACCATATTGAACACCCAAGAGCAGGAGGATGGGAGGATGTGGAGTAATTCATGACACCTTTTCCTTCCCAAGTTTTGTTGTTTTTCTTGTGTACTGGACCAAGTTTTTAAATACATGTAAAGTATTGACTTTATTTTACATGTTGGTCTTTGGAGCTATAATTTTTAGCAGTGCACTCCATTTAACAAAATCCCACTAAAACGAATTTGTTTTCTGTAGATTTATCTTTAAAGCGTCATATCTCCATTATATTTTAATTTTTACCAGGAGAACTGTTGTAGATCATCCTAATAGCTAATGTAAAAGAATCAGCAAGCAAATTAGGGAGAACGTGACACTATAGGCAGTTCATTACAGCCTTGAAGTTCATTTAATTACCATTACAGACACTGGGCAAATTCAAATTCCTGAGCCTCAGGGCCCCTTAAGCTATTGTTAACTTCACTCAGAGGATTTATAATCTTCTTTATGTCGAATCGCTCCCACATCTCAGGCTGCCTGTAAGACTTCTCCCCTTGCAATCCATTCAACCTTCAACCTATAGTAGTTCCCTGAAACCAGTGGGTTCACTTTCACCTTCAAATTTTCCAACACAAGTTTCCCTCTGCTTGCTAACGTGTACTATGTAGTGAGGCCTACCAAGCATTTGTACAGACTTTTTTCCTTGTCATTATTCCCTGGCAGTATAACAACTATTTGCATAATATTTACATAGGATTAGTTGTTATAAGTAATCTAGAGATGATTTAAAATATGCAGGAGGATATGTGGAGGTTATATGCAAATCCTACACCATTTAATTTAAGGGATTTGAGCATCTGCGGATGTTGGTATTCGTGGGGGGTCTTGGAACCAATTCCTTGTGGGTACTAAAGATAACTGTATACCACTGCACTTCTAGTCTTATACTTTAATGTAATGAATGCAGAACATATGGAATTCTAGAAATAAAGCACTAGATATCTAAAAGCCTTCCAAAGGGTTAGGATTCAATAAGCCCCAAATGCAATAGGTTGTTTCTAAATTGCAGAGTAATCTGATGGTCTTTACTCTTTTTAAGGGAAGGATAAAAATGATTTTTATGTCCAAGAACAAAAGATGCCTTAAAAAATATAGGAAACCCATACATCCCATGCGACTACTAAACGTTACTTTGCCAACTATTTAAAATCATAGAAAAATGTTAATGGTACAGTGTCAAGTGAAAAAGTTGGTTTCCAAAAAGAACATTAAATTTAATTCCACTGTGTAAAAAAATACACATATGTACACACACCACATGCATAGAAGAAATAATCGAAGGATCTATACCAAAATGTTAGCATTGCCTATGCCGAGGTACTTATACTATAAATATTTTAGTTTCACTCCCTTTATTGTATGTATTTCCTAAACTTTGTACAAGTTATCAGATTTATAAGAAAAAAGCAGTTAACCTTTTTTGTGTGTATTACTTTAAGATACAAGGTGGTTATAGCAGTGGTTTACCAGCTCTGGATGTGAGCTCATTAAATTATATATTAAGAAAATGTATACAATCTATTTATGGAAAGGTGATTCATTATTATTTAGAAATGAGGTACATGATTCTTACTAAAATATACAATTTATATGTTTTTCTTTTGCTTATAATGAAAGGAATTGATAGAATATATGACTACTTTCTTTAAAGATGGGATTATTGCAGTCATCGAAGATAATTCTGAATGTTCCAAGACCCTGTGTTCAAATGCCTAATTTTAAAGATAAGAAGACTGAAATTCAGTAATAAAATTTTAATTCAATTCTGGTATTCCTTCTATCACAAGAAGTAATCACACACACACACACACACACACACACACACACACACACACGCACGCACTCCATAAATGGTACTGCGTTTCCTGGCCTTGAGTACTTACCATCTTCTCTAATGAAAATATCTTCTTTTCAAACAAATAGAGAGGTGTAAAGGTAGCATATACCACCATGTAAGGGGTCAGTACTGCTGAAGAACCTGAAAAACAAACATATATTGTGTCATGAAAATCCTAGCCAAAATGAGTCTGCCAGTAGGTCATCTCAGACTGTTCAAATTCCTTAATGAATATTAGGATGGAATAAAAAGTGAATTTGAATTAAAGATAATTCCTTATCTTTGCTGGTAAAAAATGGGTAAATGATTCTAAATGTATTTAATAAATGCTAAATCTCAAATGTGCATCTATTTTATAGAATATCTCATTAATTTTACCTTCATAATAGTATCATTTAACTGCTTTAAAAATCACTTTTATTTCACTATAAAAGTGTTATCACATAAACTTACTAGTCATCAGTCAATGTGGCTTAGAATGGTCTACAAATGATGATGTTCAAAGTAGTGATTTTAACATTGAGACATTTCATAGATAAAAATCTTTATTTTGAATTTAAAGAAGTCCAGGAGTTTCTGTGTCATTTCAAGAAGAAATAAAACATAAATAAATTAATCCCTCCATGAAGAAAGAAAACATAAGTAACTTAGTTTAGAATGCCTAATGCTTGTAGAATTTGCTTCTGAGCTTCTCTTATTTGTTCATGTGTTCCTTAGCATCCTGGATATTACGATATTTGATTCAGGATCCTTTTGTCCTTGAAAGGATTCTGGCCAAAATAATAGAATTTATTCTTTTTTTATTGCCTTTATTTTTAATTAAAAAGTTTTGCTTTATTCTTTTACAAATTCAAGCACTTATAATTAACTGTATTAGATATGTTTCTTGAAGAATAGTATCTTTAAAGCCACAAAATATAAATTAGATATGAGCCCAGGATCTATCTAGGCTTGACTAAGATGTAAAACATGACAAAGTTATAAAAACATACTTTTACATTTCAAAATCAAACTTTGTGTATTTTTCATGGAGCAGAGATCTGAACCCAGGAAGTTTTGCTCCAAAGCCTAAACTCTAAATTACATTCTGTGTCTTCAGACTGATCTTAACTGTGAGTTTGGTAGAAAAAAAGACATTGTTACCTTTATTTTCACAAAGAAAGAAACTTAGAGAAAGGTTTAGTCATTTTCACAACGATAAATGATGAGTAACTTTGGCAAAGTTATGTCATCCACTATCGAAAAAGATTGCTTAAGGCATTCAATACAAGAAAACAATTTTTAATAAAGAATTAAAAATATAATGACAGTGACTCTTTTTTCTACCAAATCACCAGACATGTTTCTACAAAAATAAAAAGCCATAATTATTAAAATGTCCTCACGAAAAACACAACAATGTATTAAGAAAGAAGACAAAATGAAAAAAAATAACTAGATAAAGCACAATGCTGGAGGAAAATGGGTGTGTTTTCAACCATGTAATAAATGGTGGACTGAGAATTATAACCTACATTCTGGAAACACTAAGATGGATGACCCAATGTTAGGACTATAAAGTCTTAAAGAAAGATAATGTATAAAATACATATTATATAGTCTTAAAAGTATTATGTTATATATAATTTACTCATACAAAAGACATATACTGATATCTATGCTAATATATATTATATTATATGCTAATATATACACTTATATAAATATATTTATGTTTTGTATAATTATATATTAATATCTGTGTATATTATATGGAATATATGACAATATACTATATTTATATAGTACAATATATATTTTATAATATGCTAATATATAATATGTTTGTTAGTATATGTTCTCCCTCATATAAACACTTCTCCTGTGACTGCTGCACCATAGGAACTTGGACAACCTTGGCTTCTGTCACATATGCGGGACCTTGCTCTATAATATCCATACCCACCTGAGGGCCTAACAATTATGGGCAACCTTAAGCAAGCTTATTTAGATATGTCAAAACAGGAGATATATTTCTAGGCTCCAAAAATTTCCAAAGTTTTAGGAAACAGCTAAAATAGTTGTTATTCTATGAGATTGAGATCTTACAGTCTGACAGAGACTGCAGGGAGTATTGTACATCTGATGAGGGTCTTGAACCGTGAAGTGACCATTTGAATTTTTCCTTTTCTCCGTCTTTGCTCCTCTTCTTCCCAACGTCTTTTGCGTCTGCTTTCTCTAATATATTTAAAAATATAATAAATCTTTTAGGTATAAAACCTCAAACTACATTTCTTATTCAGTCATTGTGTTAAAAACAAGCCAAAAATATAGCATTATTTAAATGTAAAACAGTAGCTACAAGTTTCCCAAAACTCTACTCACCTCTAATTAGAAACATTAAAGTAAAGCAAGACAAAATTTTGAAAATTGATGTGCATTGTGAAAGACCTGCAGCATTATTTTTTATTGACTACACATGATTTTATGTAAAATAGAGATGATCATTTGAATATGATTTATGCATATACAATTATAGTGTCAGCCTAATTTTCTCATTTTAAAAACAAAACCCAAAGAATAACAAAGCATATATTTAAAGTTGAGTCCTAAATATGGAGCCCTTTCAGATCTTTCTTATTTGGGCCTCCATCTCAAGGAAATAGAGTTTGCTGTTTTCAGAATATCTTCTGGTGGAAACTGGATGCCAAACCAACATCTTTTTGCCAGCATGACTTGTGTAGTCAAACCCTGTACACAGATCTACCTGTACCATTTGAATTTTCATTCATATTTATGAAACATGTTTTCCTTCACCGTAAAAAAAAATCCTCCAAGACTTTTTTTATTCCCTAATGAAGCTCATTAAATTTGGAAATAAAATTCAGATTTCTGCCATTTCATTCTTTCATCATCTGCTTGATTTGTAATTACTATTGTTCAAGTTGTTTATTTTTTTAATTTGCATAAATAAAAGCTGTGACATTAACAACTTGTAATGTCCCTTAGCTGATAGAGTAAACCTGTCTCATTATCTTAGCTTTTATAATAGACTTAACAACTAAGTTAGACACAAAAGTGAGCACAACTGTAACATTAAGCAGAAGATGAAACATTTAACTGGGAAACTAAAGTGTAAAAAATAGGTTTTCAGAATTTTATTTTGTGGGTTTTCCATAAATATTTTACTTCACTGAATAAATTAATTTTAGGTAGCAATACATAATTTCATATATAATTTTTTGTTTTTTATTTTTTGTTGGGGAATTGGGAAAAGGGAACAGCCAAGTTGTTGTTCTTCAGTCTTAGTTTTGGTCAGCCCTAGTCCAGTTGCCATCTGGCCAACCATTGGCAGCTCCCGGCCACTCAGCTCAAGGTGCTGTGTTCAATCTTAGTTGTGGGTGGACGTAGCCCCACCATCCCATGCGGGAGTCGAACCAGCAACCTTGTTGTTAGGAGCACATACTCTCACCAGCTGAGCCACCCTGCCACCTGTTGGCAGCTCAGCGGCAGCTCAGCTCAGGCACAGCTCACTGGCCCATGTGGGAATCGAATCAGTGACCCTGTTGCTCAGAGCTAGTGCTCTTAACCAACTGAGCCACTTGGCCAGCCCCTCATATGTAATTTTAAAAAAGGACTTTAAAAGCCTTTAAACTCCTATTCAGCATCTGTAATTTAAAAATAATATAATTTATAAGAAAAATTATGAATAAATACATTCACATAGAAATTTGGATAGCATGCAAGTGTCTCCAAGGTTCTCACCCCCACTCTATGGTTCTTTCTCCTCAAAGAATCAGAATATTCTTTTGAAAATGTGATTTAGATGATGACTCTCCTCTAAGCTCTTCATTAGCTATCAATTGTTCCTATGATAATGATCAATAATCTTAACATGACCTAGAAGATATTATATGATCATATGCCTACCTACTACTCCAGGTTCTTCTCAAGCCACTTTATTCCACACATCCTTTTCTCCAGCTAATCACATCTTTTCCAGGTCTTCCAAAACAATGTCATTCCTCCTACCGCCTCACAACCTTTATACCTGCTATTTCCTCTCCTTAGAATGTTCTTCTCTCCATTGCCCCTCATCTTCTTCTAGATACCCCTCTAATCTTTGCAAACACAGCTCAAAATCCCTTAGGGAATTCTTCCCCTATGTCCCAGACTAGGTCCACCCTATGAACTCCCGTAGTTTCCTGCATTTTCCATCCAAGGCTCATGTCTCAGTATATGGGTATGATTTTTAAAATTAATGTTAGTCTTTCTCACTAGACAATAAGTTCTAGGAGACAACTTTCACATCTGATTTTGTTCACCAAGTTATTATTAATTTCTGGACCATTTATTAGTATTCTACTCAGCAGTGTATTGGATGGATGGACAGATGGTAGTTTGTGATACATGAGAAAGGGCTTCTAGGTGCAAATTTATTTGGGATATGCTGGATAAAACAAATTTAATCAGGCTTCCTCTTTTTTTTGCTTTCTTTCATAAACATGAACATTAGGTCATCTCAAAAAGTGCTAGGATATGCAGATATCATTCACATACTTGATCTTGATATATTTTTGAGGAACATTTACAGTAATAATCTCTGTGTAGCATACTGTGGGAAATGCTGGTAAATAATATCCTGAATAAGGAATAATTGGACAATATTTTATAAAACAAATATTTGAAAGATCATAATAGATGCTATCAAAGTATAAAAAAGAGCTGAGTATTTCCTGGTACATTTAATTCTACTTTACTATACAAGCATTATTTTTATGCATAACTGTATAAAATATTTTAGAAAATAGAAAATAAAAAATTACTCACAATATAGTAAGTTAAATTTAAAAAATATATTTCCCACTTTAAGAAGATAAATAATCCTATACCTTCTAAAATAATTAGACTTCTTTCTTCTCAAATTGAACTTCCATTTTAAAATAAATTGTCAGTAAATCATAATCTAATCCTATCCATTTCACATTTCCTGAAAAAATAAACAGGACAATTTTTCTCCTTTGCTGTTTTGGTCTATTCCACCCTACAGATAACATATAAGAAAGTTGTGTTTGATGGAAATTAGAAACTTAATGTGTCTTCCTAAATTAATATTATACTAATTTAATATCATCAAAATGTATAATTGCCTTTTGTTTTTAAAGAGACTAAAATATGGAACAATAATTAATACATAGTTAGCACCATTAAAAATTCTGAAATCCTAACAAGGAAGGATCTTAATTGTTTCCTTAGTACCTGGACTTAATACAGGATAATGACAATAAAGAACCATTAAATTCAGCAATGATCATAAAGCATCCATATTGAGCAACATTGTGATATAAAATGTCTTACCCTTTGGAAGTTTGTCACTTTTCTCAAGTAATTTTAGTGTTGTCACTGAAGTTTCAGGTTTGAAGTCTTTGCCATCTTTTACTTCTTTGCCATCTTTCACTTCTTTGCCATCCTTCACTTCTTTCCCTGATTCTTTTAATTTGGTATCCATCATTGTTAGTTTGCTTTCAGAGCTGGACTCCTCTGATAGCTTAAAATCAGGCAATATTTCTCTTAAGAGCTCCCAAACTTTGTCCATATATCCTGGGCTTTGATAAGACACATCAACATTAATTTACAAATTAAGCTTTTCACTCCACATCAACAAATTACTGACAGGAAAAGATCAACTTACTATTTCACAAGACTAATTTCAATACTTACATCAAATATTAGTTAAAAACACCATTATGTTACATCAAATCAATGCTTTGATTGAGTGCCTACTGTGTGCTAGGCTTTGCTGAAAGGAAGAGAACAAACAAGGAGTTCTGGTTCAAGATGGAGACATACAGGATCTTGAACTGACCAATTCCCATGAACACACTGAACCTACAGCTACATACAGAACGATTACCTCTGAAAAAAACTCCAAAGCTAGCTGAGCGATTCTTACACACCTAGTGAATGTGAAAAAACCCACATTGATACAAGTAGAGAGGCTGAGAAACAATCTCGCCATAAACCCAACAACTGGAGGGATCTCACAACCCTAAACTTCCCCCTGAGGAGCAAAGGGTTTGAAACTCACATCTAGCACCCCAACATTTAAGACCTTCCCATGAGAAATGACTCCTTGAAACATCTAGCTTCTGAAGCTCATCTACAAGATGAAAGAAACTATAACAAACTCAGAAACAGTCCTTAAAAGGTTTGCACAGAATTACCCACCTGAGAGCCCAGAGCAGAAGCAGCAGACTTTCCATGAAAGAGGCTTATTTGCTTATCTTATAGCACTGGCTTGAGGGGCAGGCTTCTAGTTAAACACACATCTAAGGGCCAACTGCAATCCTCTCCAGTGACCCAAAAGGCAGGTACTATTTTCATGTTCCCTCTTTGCCATGCGTCACACATTTATGATAAAAACTCTCAACAACATGAGTATAGAAAGAACATACTTTAACATAATAAAGGACATATATGACAAGCCCATAGCTAACATTGTACTCAATGCTGAAAAGCTAAAACTTTTCCTCTAAGATAAGCAACAAGACTAAGATGCCAACTCCCACCACTTTTATTCAATATATAATAGTATTGGAAGTCATAGCCAGAGTGATTAGGCAACAAAGAGAAATAAAAGGCATGCAAATTGGAATGAAAAAAGCATAAGTCTCACCATTTACAGATGGCCTTATATTATATATGGAAAACTCTGAAGATGACACACACACAAAAAAAACTGTTATAACTAATAAAAAAATTTGGTAAAGTTGCAAGATATAAGATCAATATACAAAAATCTGTTGTGCTTCTATACACTAATAACAAACTATCAGACAGATAAATTTTTAAAAATCCCATTTACAATGCCATTAAAAATAATAAAATACCTAGAAATACATTTAACCAAAACAGTGAAAGACCTGTACACTGAAGTCTATAGGACATTGATAAAAGAAATTGAAAAGGCACAAATAAGTGGAGAGCTATCTCATGCTCATGGATTGAAACAATTAATATTATTAAAATGTCCATATACCAAAAGCCATTTACAGATTCAGTGCAAACTCTATCAAAATTCCAGTGGCATTTTTTCCACAAAAATAGAAAAAAATAGCCTTAAAATTTGTATGGCACTACAAAGATCCCAAATAGCAAAAGCAATCTAGAGAAAGAAGAATAAACTGTAGGCCTCATGCTCCCTGATTCCAAGCCGTGTTACAAAGATATAGTAATCAAAACAGTAAGTTATTGGCATAAAAACAGACACATAGATCAGTAGAACAAAATAGAGAACCCAGAAATAAACTCACACATATACAGTCAATTAATTTATGACAAAAGAGCCAAGAATATATAATATAGAAAAGATAGTCTTCTCAGTAAATGGTGTTGGGAAAACTGAACAACCACATACAAAAGAATGAAACCTGGACCACTATCTTACACCATACACAAAAATCAACTCAAATTGGATCAAAGACTTGAATGTAAGACCTAAAACCATAAAACTGAGAGAAAAAACAGTATCTCTTTGGCATTGGTCTTGGAGATGAGTTTTTGGATTTGACACCAAAAGCAAAGGCAACAAAAGCAAAAATAAACAAGTACGTATTGCAAATGGAAAAAGTTATTCTTAGTCAAATACTGGGATGCCAAGTAAATGGGCAAGAGAAGTCAACATCAGCTTTGACAATGTTAAGATCTTTGTGGACCTTCAGAAGAAGCATTGCATTGGTGTGGTGGTGAAGGCAATATGTAGATGATGTACTATAGAATCATACACTTGAAACATGTAATTTTACTAACCAATGTCACCCCAATAAATTTAATAAAAATTAAAAAAACATAAAATTCTAAAATTTTTTATTATTATTAAAGTGGTCTCCTTAAAATTAGGAAAGTATGTGAACATTTTTTAATTTTCATGTATGATTCTAGCAAGAGACAGTTCACAATTTTTAATTAACTAATTTTCGAGTTGTGAATTATTCTGATCTCCTCTTTTGTTACCATCCTCTTATAGACTTCTGATGATTTCATGTCTCTGGTATCTTTATTGACTACTGTGCAGGAAAAATTCAGGCAAAATTGTAGCATTCCATCAACACTAAAGACAAAAATTTAGAAAAGTCCATACTTTTAAATCCCATTCTCTCTCTACTTTTCTCTATTAACATTATCCATATTATATGTCAATTAATATTCTCTTTTCTTAGATACCATAAAAGGATTTTCCCTGAGAAGGTATAAGAGGGTGCTATCTGGACCCAAAATACAAGAACAGGTCTCCTTCAGAAAAATGATCTTTCAGGGACAGTGTTACTCTCCCATTTTGCCTTAAAAATTTTTTTATTTGAACCAAACAACAGCTAGTGTATCCTTCTGAAAAAATGCTATAGATGTAAAATCCAAGTTATTATAGCCTGTCTTCAGTCTCCTCTAATCTGGACCCTGGGAAACAGTAGCTTCCCATCATCAAAGATCAAAGATGATCCAGGTTGATAACTGTATTACAGATTTGGCCTTATATTTAATCAGCATCAGAATTGATGACATGTTCAGACCTATTGATATAAATTTCCTCTGCACTTTAACCGATTAATTTCCACTGTCAATGGTAATATGATCAAATTGTGTGTCTAAACTTTTATGTGTGAAATAAAAGTATTTGAAAATTTAAGTAAGCATTACATTAAATGATCTCTCTTTTTTGGACATTGATAAGCAATCTCTATATATCTAGACTCATATCAGAGAAAGACTGTGTGCTTTGGCCCCAGCAACACTTAGATCAAATTTTATCTCCTCCAGGTGTAATGTGCATAGCTTCAGGGTATTCAACCACTTCGAGCTTCAGTTTCCTCATTTATGATGACATATATCTAGTTGATGGTGCCATATGGATGATTAAATAAGATAATATTTTCAGGACTGTAGTTTTAATTAGAAATAACATACTGAAGTGCTTAATGCCTAATAGGTATTTTATTATTTTCTAGTATATGAAGGTCTAGTAATTAAGTTTGAGAACTTGTTGCAACAATGTTGCTAACCTTTTTTTGATATCAGAGGGCTTATGCATTATGAATTTGTATCAACTGGACAAATGGTGAACCAAGTTTACTATTTGGAAGTGCTGAAAAGGCCGCATGAAAAAGTTAGACGGAAACCACCTGAACTTTTCATCAATAATTCATGGCTCTTGCATCACAACAATGCACCAGCTCACACAGCACTGCCTGTGAGGGAGTTTTTAGCCGGTAAACAAATAACTGTATTGGAACACCCTCCCCACTCACCTGATCTGGCCCCCAGTGACTTCTTTCTTTACCAGAAGATAAAGGAAATATTGAAAGGAAGACATTTTGATGACATTCAGGACATCGAGGGTAATTCAACGACATCTCTGATGGCCACTCCAGAAAAAGAGTTCCAAAATTGCTTTGAAGGGTGGACTAGGTGCTGGTGTCGGTGCACTCCCCAAGGGGAGTGCTTTGAAGGTGACCATAGTGATATTCAGCAATGAGGTATGTAGCACTTTTTCTAGGATGAGTTGGGGAACTGAATTGTCTGACCTCGTATATGGCTAATTAAACTTACTTTTACGTTTCTGTATTAAATGAACATAATAGCTGTGTAAGTATAAAGAAATACCTGTAAATATCTTACAATAATAAATACTTAACATTGTTTCAATATTTGTTTTTTAGATAGTTAAGGTTCAAATTCACAATATATATCAGGAAACAGAATTTACCCTGAAATTCTCAAGGAATGTTACATAATTGTATAAAATGTTATTTTCCCAAACATTTTGTAAAATGTAACATTTCTTGAAATTTTCTTAAAAACTAAAAATGTTTTAGTTAAAGAAACCTTACTGGGGAATAAAGAAAAAAAATCTATGAGTAACTTAACGGTCAAACCTACTGGAGAGAAATGACTTCTGGTAACCATCCCGTGAGGGCGTGAATAACGGTGAACTCTCCCAGTTCTCGCCTCTCTGCTTCATGGATGCTGAAAAAGCAAATGCACAATAGCATAGTTAAAAAATTTGAAAGCACAGGTATATTAGAAATAGGAATCTCTAATAAACAATGATATAATAAAAATGTAGGAGTCGTACTGGTTAAACATCACAGCATAAGAAGATACTATTCCAACAGTCAGATGACTTGTTTTGTTAAAGGAGTTAAGTAGATCCAAAGATAAAATGCCATGTCTATTTACAAAGTATACTTATAAGCTCTGTTTTAAAAATATATACATTAATGTTAATGTTATATACATATTCATGCATGTTATATATTTTAAATATGTAAATATAATAATATATATGTCCAATATATTTTCATATTGTTCTTTTAAAAATGGAAGTGTCCTTTATCTTTCTGATTTCAGTTATTATTCTAAGATGCCTATGAGGCTGTATATTGTGAGTCTCATACATGGCAGCTCAAGATGGGCATCAGACATCCTTAATTAAATCCTTAGATAATTTCAGAGAAACCGGAAGTATCTGTTCTATCCTGCATAAACGAGTGGATTTGCCACCATAAAGTCAAAAAATGTTGCGATTGGCCAAATATCACTGTTCTCATTTTTGTCCTTTCATTTTTTTTCTGAAGTGATTAGTCTATTTACGCTAACATATAAATGCCATATCCCTATTTTGCCTAGCAGTCATAGCTTCAATCCACCACAAGCCAGCGGTGGTGACTGATGAATTTGTGGGTCTACATATCTCAAAGATAACAACTGTCTATTGGGATGATTCGCAGTCTAGTCTAAACTCCTCTGTGGTTAATCATACTTAGGAAGTGACTGAACAAACCTCATAGAAATAATCCTTTTTCCTTTGCATATCTCACAGTGATATTGAAACAACTACTAAATATTAATTTTTAATGTAGAAAGCTAAAACTTATGACAAATAAAATCTGAGAAAAATGTATAGACAAATATAAATTGTACCATGTAGTGCACATCTCCCCTAGAAAGCCTAGGAAATGTCTTACATTTAGTCTGATCCTTTATTTTTAGGCTGAATTTATTTATTTATTTATTTATTTATTTTTATTACTCAAGTCGCTATAAAATTCTATTGAACTATAGCTTTAAGAAAGACAAAATGCCACTCCAATTATTCAGGTCAAAAATTTAATGCTTCCCTGCCCTTGCAGCTCTAATTTTCAGAACTTCGTGAAGACTGACAGGAACATTAGGAGCATTGTTTTCTTTCAAAATAAACACACATAGTTGTTATCAGTGTGAATACTTGGTAGTATTCAGCTCCCGAAAAAGATCTGGGCTGCGTTTTTTAAAACATCATTGAAATTAAGGGCTGCAAGCTGGGTGAAAACAAATTCCCAACAGAAAACTGAGGGAGGTGAGAGAAAAGCGGGATGCAGATGATGGCTGTGGGAGGGGCTGTTTTGTCGTGGAGCCGTGGGAGACAAACAGGAAGCTGGGCCCGAAGAAAATCCACAAAAAGGAGACCTGTTTTCTGAAGGACAGTTCTGTGTTTATAGAAGGGGAGGGCGCTGAGCTCTGAGCACATGGCTGATGTGGTCTGTGAAAGCATGTGAGTGTGTGCTGTTGAATAGTGGGCGGGGGGCGAGGGAGGGGCGTCCAATTCAAGCTGGTGCAGTGTAGGTGAGCATTCTCTCACCAAGCAAAGACACCAAGTTGCCATGCATTTGCAACTCAAGCATCTCAGCTGTTTTGCATTGCCAGGGCCAGGATGGAATGACCACAGGTCTCTGCGGGTGGAAGCTAAGAGAATAAACATAGCAGGCTGTCATCTATGTTGCTGCACAAGTCATGAAAGAATGTTAAGACACCGGTAGATTTCAGAAGAACATTGAATATGAATAGTTCTCATCATGCATGTATTACAAAGGACCAATATTACCAAAAGCGTGAGGAGCACACTGACATCCTTCAGAACAGTTCAAGTTTTTCAAGATAAGTGCTGTGTATATAGAACCTAAACCTTTAACTGGATTCCAGTAGATATTATTCAACATTTAGATAAACCAGTATGTTCCCCTACAAAACAACTTCTCTTATTAAGCTGAAATATTTTCTATGATTGACTTTCCATTCATAGTCAGAGAACATTGCATATAGAAGTTTTTTGAGTACTTTTACTGGGGGGAATTTTATCTTATTGCTGGCTAACCCAATACTTCTAATTAGTGGCTTTGACATATTCATTTTTATATGAGAGAGTTTCCATTGTTTGGAAAGAAAGCTTTTTTAAACTGATTTTTTAAAAAAAATAAAGCTATGTAATATTGAATGTGGTAGAGTTGTTATTACTGTGGTTTGCCTTTTTGTTTCTATACAAATGAATAATAATTCCACATTCTACGTACTCAACATTTGTCAGCTTAATGATAGCTTTACACAAAAGCATTGGCCAGAGTTCAAATTCACAAGTTGTAGCTGGAAGCAATATATTGTTATCTTCATCAAAAGGCAGAAAGTCATCAATGGTTATCTTTCTCCAGCAACCCTAAAATGAGAAGAAAGGAATATACTATCAATAATTTATACTATTTTCTCTCATATTACTGTACACTGCTGACATTATTATCTACTGTTTTATAATTTTAATTTCTTTATTTTTTTAAAGATTTTTATTGGGGAATTGGGGAGGGGAACAGTGTTGGGGAATTGGGGAGGGGAACAGTGTTGGGGAATTGGGGAAGGGGAACACTGTGTTTTCCAGGACCCATCAGCTCCAAGTCAAGTTGTTGCCCTTCAGTCTTAGTTGTGGAGGGCACAGCCCAGCTCCAAGTCCAGTGGCTGCTTTCAATCTAGTTTCGCTGTTTGTTTTGGTACAATACTGATCATAACCTAAATGCCTGTCAATGTGAAATGAGCAAAATATGCATTGACATGCTTACATTCAGTCAATGGAGTACAAGGTAGATCAATATATATTAGCCCAAAAATGTGCATGGTTAGGAAAGAATCCTTGTACTACATGATCTTACTGTTGCTATAAATCTTATTGTTGCTAGTAGGTTTATATATGTTTACGAGAAAAAAGTTTAGGAGGATATACAGAAATCATTTACTATGTTTAACTAGGTAGAATCAGAGAACTTTCATTTTCTACTTTGAACATTTTGATAATGTTTGGATTTGTTTTACTAAAACCATGTATAATGTTAATATAATGAAAAAGAACAAAAATGTTTAAATTTTTGAAAAAAGTAATTGAATGTTAGAAAAATTTGTCATGGTATATAGCTTGAAAACATGGTATATAAGTTTAAAGAACCACAAAACTGTTGCTGGGTGGGAGAGTTTCTTTCACGTGCAGGACAGCAGGCTGAGACGGATTCAGGCAGCGGGTCCGGGCAGGGGCGTGGGAAGCAGCATGGATGGTGCTGATGCTGGTGGCTTTCTGTACCCCCCAGTTTCAGAAACTGAATTCTACAATAATATTGTGTCTTAAAAGTATAAGGATTAATCAGAAACGAAAGTTAATGCATATTTTTATATCAGTAGATTAATGGCAACTGGGGAAATTATTGGTCCCAATATGTGTGTTTCCTCTGTTTATTCAGAGACAAATGAAAGTGTTGGGACAGACAAAGGCTGGCAAGTGCAATGCATATTTCAAGTGGAGAGCAATAACTTAATTGCTTCTTCCAAAGAGCCAAAAGAATGCTGACCTTGGAAAGTACCTGATGAGACTGTATTTGGCCCAGTAGCAGTATTATCACTGCAGGTTAAATAAGAGAGAAAACTGCTCTGTTTTATAATGCTGTTTTTTATGTTATTCAATACATTCTTATCCAGCTAATGTCAAAGAACCTTGATGCTATTTACTTAGAATCCAAACTGGAAATCATGGGAATTCTTTTATGAGAGAAAGGATAAGCTGATGTGAAACTCTATACTTTAAATGTCATGTAGAGAGGCTCTGAGAGAGGGGTTGGTTTGCGTTGAAGAAGTGATTAAGGTAAATGCTTTATGGGACAACAGGAAAAAGGGAGAAGAATATATGTAATAAGGCAGAGAGGGAAAATCAATGTCCAATAAGAAAAAGGTAAGAATGCATCAATAGGTTGAAGACGAAAAATAAGTGAGGAGGAGACTCAAGGGGTACAAGGTGTGATGGGAAAGGAAAGGCAGCGAAGGGCAGAAGCTGTGTATTATATTATATTTATATAATATAATATAAAATTATATATTGAGCATATTGCATTATTTTTTACATTGTAATATAAAAATATACGTTCAGTGTATTACACTGAATTAGGCAGTAGAAAGTAACAAAGCATATTTTTATGAGCATATTTCTTAAATATTTGCGATGAAAAGCAAAGGATAGGCATGTGAATGCTGAACTAGACTTGGAAGAGGAAAAATGTCAAAAATTAAATTATGTATGTTTGGAAAGGGGCAAATATAGAAAACAAGTAACAATATAGTTTATCTTGTCAGAAAGAATGTACTAATTCTTTACTACACCTAATATGCACACAGGTGTTGACGCAGCCCTACCACCTGGGAATTATGTAGAAGGAGGCAGAAATTTCTGCTCCTAGCCTTGAGAGTACATATTTCTACCAAGCAGAAAATCAGGCAGTCAGGCAGCTATCTCTATCCCATGGATACAGTCTCTGAGACAGCACAGTTCTTGCTTTCTGCCCTTTAAAACCTGCATCTATCTATTTATTATCATTGCTACCAGGATTATTCTATATCCTTTCAAGGACTGTAATTCCAATTTTAAAGAATGAACCAAAGTGGAGGAGGACTAGCAGGAGAGTATTGTAATCAGACTTGTGTATTTACCTGACGAAAAGAACTACAGATTGGATCAATATACGGATATAAAAAATATATGTTTAAGCCAAACCCCAGATAAAGAAAGCATCTAATATATATGGCTTCTTATATATGTTTACATATAATAATGTAATATAATATAAGTGGTTGGGGTGCTGCACACCTCATATCCATTGCTCTGGAGAAAAATGAAGCAAAGGCGAGAGAGGCAGCCGGGGCTTCAGACAGGGTAGAGGGTCAAGTCCTCAGGTTGAGTGTCTTTTTTTTTTTTCTCTTTCTAGCTGAGCCATCCTGCCACCTGTTGGCAGCTCAGCGGCAGCTCAGCTCGGGCCAGGACTTGAACCGCTGTTGCTCTGAGCTCAAACTCTTGAGCAAGCTCTTAACCAACTGAGCCACTCAGCTGGCCCTTCAGGTTGAGTGTCTTTAACACTAAAACCAGAAGATGCTCGGGCTTTGGCTATTGTGCTCTAACACAAAAGTTTATTACCCAAATCTTCCATATGTAACCAAATTATCAATCCTATAAAAGCCGCATATAAAGAAAACAGGCATCAATGTTCAAAGTTACCCAAATTATAACACATATATATTCTAAATGAGTAAAATTGTAAAGTGCAAAATCCATCTAAACGAAAGGGCAATCAAAATAAAATACTCAAGAGAGGGAAGCTGTAGTAGAAGAAAAAACAATGATAAGGACTAAGCCCTTGTGTATAGAGAATAAAGGACAACTAATTAGAAATAAGTGTTCAAAGATAAACACCAGTAAAAATCTTTATTCAAAAAATGCCAAGAAAACATTGAAACACAAAGTATTAGGTTGATTTTGTTCTAAATATCAAAACAAACTATGAATCCATAATAATTAAAGCTCTATAAATTTGAATAGAATAAAAAATAGTGGAAGAAAGTGTCTAGAAACAAACACAAGTCCATATTGGAATTTAGTGTATGATAAAAGTGGTTTTGAAAATCAGTGGGTAAAAGGTAGAACATTCAATATATAATGCTGGGGCAACTAGCTGAGATTCTAGAATAACAAGACAAACCAGTTCTTTATTTCTCATAGTAGATAAAACAAATTAAAGGTTCAAACATAAGAAAAAAAAGCCAAGAAATATGAGATAAAATTAAGGGGAAATATTTTTAATATTCTTGAGATAGTGGTATCTTACTTTAAATGACAAAAATTTCCTAGACTCTGTGAAGAAAAACAATGACATAATCGACTACATAAAATTGCAAGTTTCAGTTGGGTGGAAGACACAGTTAAAAGACAAAGTTTAAAAGTGCTTCTTTTATACCCACATATATTATTATCTACAACATATAAAAGAATATGTATAATCCCATAGCAAGAGTTTAAATAACCAGTTATATGAGTAGGCAAATCTAGGCAATTAAAGAAGTACATAAGGCATATGCAGATTTGATGGGATACTAGAGGACCAAGCATCAATACAGGTCAGGAACTAAGCAGTTTGGGCAAAGGAACCACAGTAAGGCCATATTGCTGGAGCAGTCAGGTGGGGCACTGCCAGCAATCACTGTATATCCTCTCCATCTTCACATTCTCACCCAAGAACCACTGGTGGGCGAGTGAGCACCTGGTAAACTGATTGTGTACTTTTCCCCCAGCTCTCCCAAGGGCCAGGAAGAGAAAGGGTGTGTCCCTTTGGCTTCTATAGTAGGAGATAGCATGGAGAAAAAAGGAAGGAAAGAAAGAAGGAAGGGAGGGAGGGAGGGAGAGAAAGAAGGGAACTAACAGTATTGAGAATTTACTATTTGTCAGGACCGTTGCGAGGTTCTTTAACATAATTACCACATTTTATCGTCACCTGTGTTCATCCATGACATGTTTTGTACTACCGTATTTGCCGGCATATAAGACGACTGGGCGTATAAGATGACCCCCTAACATTTCCACTCAAAATACAGAGTTTGTTATATGGGCAGTCTATCTGAAGTGTACCTGGTGTATAAGACGACCCCCCACTTGGAGGCATATTTTTCAGGGCCAAAAAATCGTCTTATACGCCGGCAAATACGGTATCTTGATGAATGTGGTCCCTTTGCCCTTTGTGTGCAAGGGACCCTGAAGGCCTCACATTGCCCAACAATTCACCAAGAAATGCTGACAGCCAGCAAAGCTTTCTCTCAGTCTCGCTGAACAAGACTATGACCATGCACTTCAGTGATGAGTGCCAGCAAGTTGCCTACAGAATAACTCATATGGAGCGAGCTGTATCCCAGTGCTCAATAGCCTGGCAACATTCCCCACAAGCCATTCCTTAGATGAAGCCAATGAGGAAACAGCAGAAGTCATTGCACATGAGGTTCAGTCTTTCTGGCTGCCGCTCACCGGGCCCCCTTCCCTCAAGAGCTACCTTATCTAAAGAGAGAGGTTCAATGATTGGATTGGAGTGAGATTTCCAAATTGGACAAAATACATTTTTTAAAAAAATTTCTGAACCCAAGTAGGTTTCGGCTTGTGAGGAATCAGTACAGTTAAAGAGAAACAAATCACATATTCTTTGCAAAATGGAATCTAGTGTTGTTAAATGTTGACTGCTATCTGGAAGGAAATTTGAAAAGAAGGATGTTAAGGAGCAGAAAGAGAAGGGGCAGGGCGGGGGTGAGAAACTTAACAGCGTTCTTTTAATGTTCTGATGCTGTGTTGAAATTCTTAATAATTTTGAACTCTACCCCAACTCAAGTTTAGGCACATTTGCAGACGTGGGGGCCAAGTGCACAGGGATTTGTCCTCCTCACTGTTACGGTGTTTACTTTCTTTCTATAATCCCTCAACTCTTTCCATCTTGCTTAATGCCATATCCTCCCTCTCACTGCCCTGCACACATTTAGAACGCTAAAGTCTAGTCTGTCAAATCTATCTCCTGATTGATAAATAAAGAAGATAAAGGAACTTAGGAAGTTATTTTTTCTTCTAACAACATTTTGACTTTCAAAGTCTACTCTCTTGCTGTGAATATCACAAATAAATACATAAATAAATAACCAGCCCCAAATCCTATTTTGGATCTCTAAGACTAAGATTACCTTCTTTACCTTCACCTTCCCACTGTAATGATCCTATTAATTCCTAAGCATGGCTTTTCAAAATTCCTCATCTCAGGAAAATGGACGGCTTGGGCTCACTAATGAAAAAGTCATGTTCTTAGACATACAAATGGAACCATTCACTTTTCATACTTTCCCCAGTCCCTCAAATGTCCAAGAACATTCTTTCTCAGTGACTAGGACCAGTTTCATGGGTACTTGACCCATCACACAAGACCCCATGCTCAGAAGGACCCCATGTTTCCTTTAAAGTATTGCTATCACTGTCTTGAAAATCCTAATAATTTTTGAACGAGGGCCTCTGCAAATCATGTAGCTGGTCCTGCCTGTGACTCTAAGCGTACAGAAAGAGCATTCCACTTAAAAATCCGAAGGTGTCTCATATAATCACACTAGATTGCTAAATGTGGTGTGAGTCTACTTTGCCATATTAACGCAGGGGATTTTTTTTTTTTTAGCTGAGCCATCCTGCCACCTGCTGGCAGCTCAGCGGCTGCTCAGCTTGGGCCGGGACTCGAACCGCTGTTGCTCAGAGCTCAAACTCTTGAGCGAGCTCTTAACCAACTGAGCCACTTGGCCGGCCCCAACGGAGGGGATTTTAATTCTCTATTTGTACTTCCTACCATCCCATTTGCTTCCTTGTATGCAGAGGTAAAAATGTTCGGTGTTGGCATACGATTTGTTAACATGAAAACAAATCTCAAGTTTAGAGCAACAACAACAGAAAAGGATGGGATCAGGCCCCTCACTGGCCGCAAATGCCAGGAGATAAGGAGCAGACCACACTCAAGCACTCCCTCGTGCCCATGACCCTGACACCACATCACAGAGGACAGAATGAGGGGCCAGTGTATCCACCTGCCTGCATGGCCCACATACCTGAGAGGGCAGAGGCAGGAGAGGACCGCCTCTCTGTGGTCTGGGCAGCACCAGTTTAAAAAGCACAGGAGACTGGATCATGGGCAAAACAACCGTGCTTCTTATTAATCCAAAATCACATATGCGGGCCATTTCCCCCCAGTAGCTACACAACTGATATCTTGCATAAGCTGCGTCATTTTGTATTAGCCTAAGTAACAGCACATAAGGCAAATATACTTCAATATTAAAGACAAATGAATTTTAATGCTCATGAATGTGAACTTACCATCCAGTAAAGTTTTACAACATATTTTCCATAGCTATTGAACAAAGGGATGTGACCCTTCACAGCCTTGCATAGGGAGTATATGTGTTCCCAGGGTTTCCAGGCGAGAAGAGGGGGTTCCCCTGCAGTCCCTTTAAAATAATTGCTCAAAATACCCCCGTTGAATATCTTCCACACTGCATAGATTTCGCTGATAATCCATCTCATCAGCTAGAGACAAAAATCATTAGTGTCAAGGAGTTATTTTTCAGTTGTTGTTGCTGTAATTCAGGGGGAAAATCAGTTGGAAATGTACTTCCAATAGTAATATTAAATTCTATATGTAATGTAGTCCACATTTCGACTTCTGACCTGCAGAATAAAGTCATAGATCTTGCTTTCATTTTCGGGAAGTATAATCATATTACATGCTAAAAAAGCATAATATTAAACACAATCTTAGCTAAGAGCTGTCTTCCAGAATAAACTGGCAATGGCCTCCATTTGACATTGACTTTCACTTCAGCTCTGTGTGTGTGAGAGGGAGAGACAGAGAGGCCTAAAGACTGAATGCTTCTGAGAACAACGATGATATTATGTTGAAATTAACTTTTTACAAATGAGTGCACTACTCTTCTGTATATGTTGAGAAGTTTGCTTAGGAAATGATCTCTTTTCTGTCAATAGGACCAATGAGACAAGAAATGAAACATGAGAACAAATTAAAAGTGTACTTGAATGTACTCTGAGCTTATGCATCATGTGTTTCTCTGCAGGAGCAGAAGTGCTCCAACGGAAACTCCCATTTGCAGGGCTATTAACAGGCAGCAAGGCACAGTGGGAGCTGGGCGTCAGGCTAAAAATGGGGGCCAGGGCTTGAATCCTCCTTCAGGGCCTTCTGTTCTTGGGTAAATCGCTTCAGCCTAAATTGTAGTTTTTGCATCTACTAAAGGTAGATTAAACTGTCTATTTTCAAGCATTTTTGTGAGTAATAGAAATGATGCATAAGAAATCTGGTGCGTGCGGAGATTAAATACTTGAGACTAACCTCTTGAGATTTATGTTTTTCTTCATTTATGTTACCTAAGAAATCAAAGTTTGGATAAGTTGAAAAATGCAAATCAGATATCCTCTTTATAGCTGAAAATTTTCCAATAGAATATTTTATGCTTCCTTCCTTGAAAAATTTTTAAAAAGCTAAAGTCTGTGTATGTTTAGGATTCATAAATATGCATATTTTAGACTAAAACATATGATATAAAACAATTTGGAGATAATTTTATGCTAATCAGTATAACCTGGTTGAAGAAATAAATATTTTGATTTCAGTATTGGTCAAGATATTAAACCTAAGAAAGACGAAGTGTTTGAATCAATAATGACTAAGCCCCATCCCTCTGACTGGGTCTTAGGAGAAAATAGGCAAAAAAAAAAAAAAACTTGTTTCTGATATACCTACCTTAAGGAAGTGGAACAGGTCTGTTGATGGATAAAACCCAGGGTGGGGCGATGTGGAGGTGCGCCCCCCACAGGAAGTAGGACCACTGCGCTGAAAATCTGGTTTAGATGAGGTGCTGCAATCAAACTGCACCCATGCTTTCCCCCACGTTAGTAAATCAATCAATGTAACACCTTACTCTTGGAGAGCAACTTTATGGCAATTGCCAGGCAGGTGGGTCTGCTGGAGAAATGCCTAGCCTGTGAGAAGCCGGCTAACCTGGGCGGGAGCAGAGGGACACAAGGAGGGCTGATGCTAACATTTTCGCACCATTTGCACGCTAAACTCAAAGAGATTTCTCTTTCGCTTTGAATGTCTGGCGTATTAATCTCAGTTATACCTAAACTTAAAGGTGATCAAGGGAGAAATGAAACTGACTGGGAATTGTTTAAGCAGGTCTGGGAGGCATTTTGCAAGGAGGCCTTAGTTCATACTTCCCTACATACCTCACTGCAGAATAAATGTTCATTTGCTGAAAACAAGTCTAACAGGATTTCATTTTTCACAACTACTGGAGTCTAAAAAAAAAAAAAAAAAGAAGATATTATTTTTCAGGAAAAATACAGAAAATGTAGCTCATTTGCTATAAATAGGCAGAACCTGATTTCATTTGTCACAACTAGAGGAATCAGAAGAAATACAAAAATAAGCACATTATTCCATAAGGTAACCCTGTCTGAGCTATAGGTGACATTAAAAATGTAATGTCTATAAAATATAATATTTTAACATACAAATAAACTGTAATAAAGTATAATATGTGCAGATAAACTTATCATGCATATACACATAAATTGACTATATAGTGGTTTAAAATTTAAGTTAACCACTCAATTTAAAATTGACACTTAGTTAATATCTGGCAGCTGGAAAAATAGCTTCATCTTCGATGAAAAATATTAATTGTGACAGCTTTTTAAATTCTTGCCCAACTTTAAACTCTGATAACTTAAAAATAAATAATTTGATGGTGATTATTTAAGTAGTATGTTTAAAGTTGCTTTTATATGTTTAGTTTATTAAGGAATAAACATAATAAGAAAAAATATGACTTGTAACTAAAAAATTAATTAAAATCCATATACAGCTTATATATTTAACATATTAAATTAACATAAAAGTGGTTTTGTGAAATATTTTTATGGAAACTAATGCTGTCAATTATTCTCAATCATCTGGACAACTAGCATCTTCAAAACTCAATATAATATTTTTTTATGTCTGAGAAAAATTTACCTAAAACTACAGTAAGGCCTGAATTGACTCATATGTCCATAATTTATAAATATTCTGATTTGACTGACTATGATGTAACACTTTTAAATGCCCATATGTTTCTGCAAGTGCCTATGTGCATTAAAATTAGTTATATATTAATTATAAAATATATTAAAAATGAATGTATATTAATTCTTAATTTTAAGTAATTAAATAAAAATATATTAATTATAATGGACTATAATTGATCAATTAATTACAATTGATTATTATAGATTAAATAAGTATTGCATACCTAAAGGTTAAAGAGTTAAACTTAGTCTCATGCTGACAAATGAAAAGGAGGAACTAACAGTTTGTAAAAGACACAAATGTTAAGGCAGATGTGTCTTCAGTGGTATTTTGGTGTCTCTATCCCTTATACCTACATTTGGGGCAAGATAAATCTTCAGACATCTTACATCTGTTCAATATAATCAACACTCAAGGGCCTGGGTCACCAATATCTGGTTCTTAGAAATAAACAGATCTGATCACTCACTCTGTGATCAGGGCTTGTTAACCTTCTTGGTTGGAATGGTCCATGTTGACTATGATATTTTAAATCCAGGCTTTTAAGTTGTTTAACAACTTAGCTTCTCTCTGACTTAAATCATGCTCTCTGACTTCATCTTTTGCTTAGAGTGTTCTGTGGGTATTTCTAGGCTGTACTGTACTTTTTAAACTGTGGATTGCAATTATTTAGTGATTCATGAAATCATTTTAATGGGTCAGGAATATATATATGTATATATAGATGTATGTATACATACATACACTCATATATGTATATATGTGTATATACACACATATTACTATATGTATACATTATATATATGGTCAGGAATATACTATCTATACTATATCTAGCTGTCTATCATCTATCTATCTATGGAATATAGTAGAATAGAGTAAATCTCACATAGAAAGGTCATTATTCTTTTGCAAAATTTTTGTCTAAATCCTATATATGTCCACATTTAATGAGTCTCAATGTAAAATGTATTTATCACTATGGTCCTAGACGTTAAAACTTGAAAAACACTCTTCTAAGAGTTTCCTACCTAACTACACTTTCAGTTCTGGCTGTTCTGGTCTATATTCCAACATCACGGATCAAGAGAAGGAGTCAGAGAAGAGGGGAGTACAGGTGTATGGATGGCAGCATTATAATAAATGTAGGTGGAAATATCATCAACAACAATGGATGAATTTATTTTCGTACACGTGTACCTCTCAGAACTAAGGAATGCTAAAAAGAAAAAAAGATGCTTCATAAAACTTTTCTATTTATTCAAATTTTCAACACTCCTGTTTCATGGAATTCATATCTTTTATTTGCACGGAATGAAAACTCTGAATTTCTATTGAGCAGAGCCTGAATATTATTAATAATACATTAATATTAAGTGCATTATATGAGCATCACAGAATTTGTATTCTTTATGTCAATGTTACCTAACATTATAAGTAATTTAAAGGCATGGTTTATGTATATTTGATTTCTTTTATTTAAAATCTCTTACAAGTCGACATTCCATAAGTACTCTGATGAACAGAGATGTATCTTTTACTTTCTCATTTTTGTAAATATAGAGAGTGCCAGAATTTAGGATTACCTGACCTTCTCAGCTAGTAACAGTAACTGGAATAGTCACTGGTAGCAGTGCTTATAAAGGCTAAACGTTTTAGGAATAAAATGATTTTGTGCACAAACAGGCACTGAATGGATTCCATAATGTATGGAAGAGTTAGCTGCATTACAACCATTTAACTAGCTAACTGGCAACTAATTTAGCCCACTGGTTTTCTATGCATTAAATGAAAATAATAACAGAATCAAGAAGGAAAAATAAGGCATTTATGATAATTAAACCTTTGGAAATACCAAATATATTCAAATGAACACAGCTACTAGGAAGATAGACCAGTGGGTCTAAAGCGTTAAAATACTTAAGTGCTATTTAAAATAAAGGCTTCCTGGGCAATGTCCCAGTCAATATGATTCAAGAGTCTGGGCATGGGGTCCAGGAATGAAGGCAGCACTTGAAAAATGCTTCAACAATCCCTGGAATAGAGAGATCCACGTGCAAATCTCTTGAACTGGAAAATTAATGCTAATAAACACTAGAGTAAATAGACTTTCATGCCACATAAGTTCCTGCTAAGAAGCAGAAAGGAGTAAGTCTGTCAGAAATTAAGGAATAACTTCTCACAACATTTTAGTCTATAATTGGACATCATGAACAGAAGAAAACTTGAGGCTCTAAATAAAATTTCAATATTCTTTCGGAAGCCTGTACAAGACATAGTCAACTATTTCTAATTTAAATGCCAAAACGTAATTACTTATTATTACTGAATACCACAGAAAAAAGTACCCTAAATTATTTTTAAATGCAAATTTTCATAGCTAGCATATTACATCCCATCATTAATACATATTTTGGTTAATAATAAAAATATTTCTTACCCGATTAATTATAAAATCCTGTGGACGTTTCCAGGAATAAATTTTCAACGATGGTGGTAATTCAATCTTTCCTTCAGGGTCCTCAAAACAATGCTATATAAAAAATACATTGAGTTTTATCTCCCTATGGTTTTATTAAAATAAAACCAACTCAATCTTAATAAAATTAGTAAATGCATAGATTGGATCAATAAATAAACATTTATAGAGCAACATGTGTGTTTGTTTTCAAGCTAGTCATGAAGTATTTGGAGAATACTGAAGTTAACAATATTGTATTTAATACATGAAACTTTGTTGAGTAGCATTTTGATTACAGAAGAAACAATACAAACAAGGATGAACTGCTTTGGAATGTGATATAGGTATAGAGGGAAAACAATTTTGAATGGGCCAGATATGGAAATACTTTCCACTGAATTTTTTTTTTTTACACCTGAATAGAGAAGATTGAAAAAGTTTACATAATTGTCAACTGTTAGAATCATAAACAGGGCTATATATAAATGAAATGTGTAACTTTGATCTGACTTTCATTTATTGTATTAATTAAACTTGTTATTTTGAGATAATTATATATTCACATACCATTTTCTAAAACAATACTGAGAGTTCCTGTGTTCTGTTTCCCCATCGGTAACATCTTACAAACTATAGCACAATATTACAACCAGGATATTGACAATGACACCAACCAGATACAGAACAATTCCATCAGCACAAGGATCCTTTCTATGCCCTTTTATAGCCACAGCTACCCTCTGACTCCCCACTCCCTACCACCTGGCAATCACTGATCTGGTCTCTATTTCTATACTGTTGTCATTTTGATAGTGTTCTACAAATGGAATCATATAGTATATAAGCTTTTAGATTGGCTTTTTTCCCTCTCTGCCTAATTCCTTGGAGATTCAATTCATCTAAATTGTTGCATGCACTAATACTTTGTTCTTGTTTATTGTTGAGTAATATTTCATGATATAGATATTTGAAAGACATCTGGGATGTTTCCAGTTTGGGGCTATTACTAATAAAGCTGCTATGAACATTTGTCTACAGGTTACAGGTTTTGATGTGAATATCGGTTTCCATTTCTCTGGGATAAATGCCCAAGACTGTAATTAATTTATTAATTTTTGAGTCCCTAATATAGGTCAATTAGTGAGCTCTGGAGAAAGAATGATATTCAAATATCTACTCTCAAATGCTAGCAATCTAGTCAAGTAGAGAGACTTAAGGTAGCTACTGTGTAAAAGTTCTCACAGCTTATAAGATAGATGGGGGAAAGGAGTGTTGAGATCCTTACAAGAAATAACACAAAAAGTGCTAGGAGTATAAGCAAAACACTCAAAGAATATAAACTACCTATATATATAAAAAAAGATAACTAAATTTCACCTGAGTGAATGGGATGAGGCAAAATAAATAGTTTTGGGATTTTCATAGTAATCATATTTTTTATCCTAATGCTGGTTTGGCCAGAGAAATGGGTTATATTTGAGGGCATTGTCTAAGTTTTAAATGTAATAAATATTGATGTGTATCTGGAGCATATGGTTTATTGTCACATTTAAGATATTGGAATAATTTGAATAAAGACAAAGGCAACCCCAACATCTAGTCAAAATGATCAAAGAATGAGTTTTTGAAAAACAGACTGAGGTTTCCAGGAGCTGTATATGACTTCTGGGGTTCCTTCACATTATTTTTTCCTTGCACATATTAATTCAGTTATCTTAAACTATCTGATGATTCCAAAATCAGAGTTACCTGTGGTCCTGTTTCTGCTATCCGATTTTTCCTCTCAGTTTTCAGTTGCTTCGTTCTGTATCTCTTTATGCCTACTAAACTTGACTGTATGATATACACTGAATATAAAAATTCAGAAGGCTCTAAATAACAAGGTCTTCTTCCAGAAAGGAAGATTTTATTCCCTTCTGGCAGGCAGAGTACAAGAGGAACTTGACCCAGTCGAGGCTGGGCTTCAGTGTTTGGTAAGGCTGGTGTATAGTTGGTATGCCCTTCCTCAGTACACAATGGCATAGCTATCATGGGTACTACTGAAAAGCTGGAGTGTTTATCAGGGTCTCTTCACCTGGGAGTCCCCTGAATTCCAGTCTCTTGCCACAGCATCATGAATTCTTTTCTGAGTTTTTTAGCCTCCAAGCCACTGCTTTTTACTCATTTGCTCAACCAGAAAAGCTTCACACACATAGCTTAGGAGTTGAGCTAATACCCCAAAATAAAATTAAATTCAAAATTTTCAAATCACTTCTCTGTAGTTATCTTTGGGATTTTGGTTCAAGTTCTGGCCACTCTGGCAGCTCCAGACAATATCCTCTCTCCCCTCAGCCCTAAGAAACTGACATAAGCCCCAAGACATACTTTCTGCTTGGCTTCTAATTACCATCCCTTGAATTAATAAATGTCCTTGAAACAAACAAACAAAACTAAGGAAAATGTGGGCTCATCCTGGTGTAATTCCCTTTTCTCCAGGATTTGAGCCTCTCACATTAAGTTAATGATAATCTTTCCATGTCATTTTGCTTTATGTGTATTTCTTACATCCACCTGACAATACTTCATCTTAGTTTGGTTCACCCATTATATTCTTTCATTGCCATCACTTAGCTGAAGTGAGACCTGACTCTGGAATTGCAGGGAAGGGTTAGTTCATCAGAGGCTGACATACTGATCACTAGCCTCACATGTAAAAAAGTGGCCTTCTGTAAAATTCCAAGGGTATCTGCTATAGTTTGATGCTTAAGGCAATTAATCCTGGTAAAATATAAATGTTGCAAATCATGGCTAAAAGCTAACATATCATAGAAATGTAATCACAATGCGTGGAGTGTCCAGCACTCACACCAATGGAGAAACTGTTGCTTCCAGAGCCAAGAATGCTGAGGTTGTGGAACAGAACCAGGGGATGGGGAACAAGGTTCTGTCCCAGATGGTACCACTTTGCACTGTTGTAATAGCCAGTGTTTGAGCTGATGCTCAACTGCTCCATTGACGATTTGCACAAGCTACCTTCCTGATGTAAATTCACACCCAATGTCCATAAGCTTTGAATTGCCGTTAAAAATATACTATGGCCATTTTCATTTGAACCCAGAGAGTTCAAAAGCCTTTGCACCTAAAAGTTTCATAATCAACCTAGGTGTGGTACCAAGAATGCATTCCCTCACATTGGTAATTTGAACTTGTTCAGGTTCTAAGAGTCAGCAATTTATGTTTATTGAATAACTTTTGTAAACAAATTATTGATATAAATCATAAAGTTTGTGATTCTACATTTTGTGAACAAAATGTGAATGCTAATAAGTACCATTTTGGAGTGCTCTATGCAAACAAAGACACCAAAGTTGAACCTAGCCATTCTGTACCATCTCCTTAAAAAAAAATCTTTCCTGTAATCACCAAATGACAGCTCACAAGTCTGCAGAGGTCTCTTGGTGTCTGAACCACCATCTCCAAATGCCTTGTTCCCAATGTGTCCAAAATCCACCAGCTAACCTGCTCTATTAATCAATGTCTTCTGTACTTCATTGTGACTCTTTGGTCATCTCTCTCCTCCCACTTATTTAAATCTGATTCACCAAAGCTGAGGACGAAGGATCGGAAAGACAACGTAGGACAAAAACAAAATTTCTCTTTGGTATGGAGACTGTGGAGTAGAATGAGCACACTCACGTGTGAACGTATCTTATTTCATTATAACAGTAAAGACCCAAATGGAAGCCAGTCACAATCAAGTTTACTTACAAGTATAGGGCTTTTCCCCGTTTTGTCCTTTTCTTTTCCACCTTTGCCTGTGTCCCACTTTTCCGCATTTATGTCAGCTTCATTCCACTCTGGCCAGATAGAGAATTTCCCCTTCTTCTGCTCAACAGAACTGGCTTGTATATTGCTGCCAAAATAGTACTGACTACAGACAGAGAGGGTGGGAGGCGGGTTAGTTCTAATTCAGATCTCTGAAGTGAAATATTAGATAACTGAACGACTTCAATTTAAGTGTTTTGTAAGCAGTCATGTTAAATACATTGTTCAATATATCCATCCCTGCAGCCAGGCAGGGTCAGGGTTCTAAAGACCAAAATACCCCAAAGAGACAATTCAAAAAACAAATTCTGAGCATTAGTCCCTACTTGCTAATAGAAGACATTCATCATAAACATATGAGATGCCATAAAGGGGGTATTGACACGTAGGGAAAATCCTTTACATATATAATGCTAACAGCTTTTTGAAGATCAGTACAAATATAATTTTGATTTTCCCAATATAAAAGTGCTATGTGATCATTATTTTAAATAAAATTTTAAAATACAAATTAAATAAATAAGAACGTCATACCCAATCCATTCTCAAAACTGCATTGTTAACAATGGTCCATTTTCTCAGACTAATGTACAAGGATATACATCTCTTCTTCAAAGATGACATCATTCAGCATATTCTCTTTTATAGACTGCTTTTATCCACTTATCAGTATAGTGTCAATAATTCACATGGCAATAAGTATTTATCTAAATATGAATTTAATGGCTCCATAATATTCTATTATATGAGTACTGCCCTTTGTTTAACTGAGCTTCTATTTTGGAAATTTGAGGGGTTTGATTTAAATATTTTTTTATTATTAAAAACAAGACAGTTGTTGCTATCCTGGTTGCCAGATGTTTGTATACATTATTATTTCCTTAGGATAGCTTTTAATAAAGAGTTTTACTATACCAAAATATCTGCATAATCAAAGTGTGTGATATATTCTGACTGATTTTCTACAGAAAATTTGGACTTGTTTTATACTCTCATCATTAATATGTTACAGCTTCATATCTCTAAACCTTCACTTTTACTTCTTTATTTTCATGAATTTTAAAGTCAAAACGAGGCATCTTGTTTAATTTTTCAAGTTTTTACTACACATGAGTCTAGAACTTTGTTCCTTACCCTGGGATAAGCAACGAACAAACCAGACTAAAATTCCTACTTTTAAAGAGTTCACATTCTAATAGGTGGAGACACAAAACAAACACCATAAATTAAGTAAAATATATACTATATTAGTAAGTGGAAAATGCTAAGCGTGAATATAAAAGAGGAGGGGGGAACCAAAGCTTTAAGTTGTACGAATTTTAATACAGTGGTTAAATGAGCAGGTACAAACAGCAAGGACGAGTATTCTAGATGTAGCGAGCACACTGTGTATTTGAATAGGAATAAAGGAGGGCAGTATGGCTGAAGCACAGATAGAGGGAGATGATTTCAGAGAGGTAACAGAAGATGCAAAGATTATACAGGTAATCTAAGCCAAAGGAAGAACATGGGCCTTCAGTCTGAGTGAGACAGGAAGCCAAAGGAGGGTTTTGAGCAGCTGTATAACATGACATGGCTAAAATTTTATACGCATTCTTGCTGCTATGTTGAGAAAAGACTAAAGGAGACAAGAGAGACAATTTAGGAGGCATTTAAATAACAGGAGAGGGCTAGTGGTGGTTTGGATCAGTTGGTAACAGTGGAGCAGTCAAGAAACAGTCCCCAGTGTAGATTTTTTAGGCAGAGCAAGTAGATTGAGTTGATATTTCCGGATAGACAGAAGAGTATGATATGGGGCAAAAAAGCAGCATTTAACTTTTGAATGAGTTGTGTTTGAGATGTTTATCAAACATCCATGAAGGTGTTGAATAGGCAGTTACAGAATTCTGATGTTGGAGAGAAAAAAACTAAAAGTGCAAATTTGACAGTCATCACCATTTGGAAGATATTTAAAATCTTAAAATGACTATACCTAAGGAAGAGGCACTCCCAGAGACGCTATTCAAAACACCTAACCACTGGTACCGAATGAGACTGACCAAACGAAATGGACCCTGGTCAGTGTCTACAAAGCTACTAGCTATTCCAGATGTTTACTCTTTACTTTAAATAGTGGGGTCAGGGATGCAAGGTCCTCAGCGTAGGTCAGGAACCAGGGCGGGAGACAGAAATGTCTGGAGCTCAATCACTGGTAAGGTTATTATTAAGGCTCCTTCCCAATGAACAGAAAAATATTTCAATATTCTAACAACCAATGCAGCGGTAGATCTGCCCTGGTAGTCCATGTTGAAGTCAGACAGAGTAGGAAGAAAACAGAAAACTGAGAAAAGTGGTCAGTGTGCAAGACAAAATAATGCCTGCCCCCAATCTGTATTGGTACAGATTACAGATAAAAAGAAATTAGTGATTTTTGTATCTAATTACCTCATTTAGGAAGCTCAAAATCTTTAGAGCTGTTTTTGTAAAAGGAAGATCTAATTTCTTAAAAATAAAGGCCCTGCTAAAATTATGTTTTGCCTTCCTCTTCATTCTGTCAAGTGTAAGTAAATGTTTTGGCTCTCTCCCTTAAGCTGTTAAACTGTATCACTAATTGGCCTATTTTTCCTGTAACATGTCAGATTTGTTTCCATCTGAATTGAAGATCATGTAAAAAGACTCTCAATAGTGGTGCCTTATACCAACCCAATCGCTCACTTATAGTGCTACACACACAGCAAAACAGTGGTCAGATATACAGTCCAATGTCAAATATATTGCAGACTTCAAATGATCATGTACAAGTGTTGAAACTCTCAATACAGTGTACCCTTGAAGTTCACACCAGAGTGTACCTACTGCTCTAGCACAGTTGGGATCCTTTAAGTATTCGAAGCACTTAGTTCTGGTCTCATCAACTCTAAGAACAAGATAATCCTTAAACACAAAAGTTTCCCAGCACTTTTGAAGATTTAGGAACTGATAATACTGGGAAATGAATGTTGCCAAATTTTAGAAAATTCAACCATGTAAAGAAATCAAATCTGACATGCTGAAAAATCAGAGGTATATACAGAGTTACTTTAGTCACACAGCAATATACCCCATTTCTAGTAAATGATTTCGTCTATTTAAAATACAAGTTATATAAAAGATTTCAAAGATAAATATATTCTATACATGTACAGTTAAATGCTCCCTTCCTCACAATGAGTCTAAAAATGCTATTGAGATAAGGGGAGTGTCATTTTCCCTCTTAGGGTAGGTTAGAAATATGTATACAAAAAAAAATATTTGTGGAAATTTATTATATAAAAAAAATTCATAAAAGTCAGTGGAGAATGTTTATAATATAAAATCTGTATATTCCAAATGTCAAATGATATTCCAAAAGAAACCAATGTCTGGAGGTAGAAAAAATTTAGGAAGACAGGCAAAGGGCTGATTGCCTGAGTGGAAATATAAAATAGAAGGTACTCCTGGGAGAAAGAAAGGAAATACAAAGGAAATGAGTTATAACAGCAGGTCAACTCAGACAGAATAGTGTGACATACAAAGTGATATATGAAGTAAGCATCAGATACACAGGTAAGATGATTTCATATGTGTGTGTGTATATATATATATATATATATATATATATATATATATATATAATGGTTGAAATGAATTATGATTAAAAGCCATTGAAAAATATGAATGGTGGTTGCCAGAGGCAGAGGGTGAGGGGTGGGAAGGTGGGTGAAGGTGGTCAAAAGGTACAAGCTTCCAATTATAAAATACATAGCCCATGAGGATGTAATGTACAGCATGGTGACTATAGTTAATAATACTGTATTGTGATTTCAAAAGTTGATAAAAGAGTTGATCCTAAAGGTTCTCATCACAAGGAAAAAAATGTGTAACTACAATATATATGGTGATGGATGTCAACTACTTTTATGGTGATCATTTCACAATGTATACAAATATCAAATCATTATGTTGTACACCTGAAACTAATATAATGTTATATGTCAATTATACCTCAATTAAAAAGTCAATGGACTAATTACAGAAAGAACCCATAGTTGTGGATTGGGGGCTAGAACAGTATAATCCTCAAGTAGGTACTAGGAACTGGATTTGAGCAGTGGCAGTCCAAGCTTAAAAGTCTGTAAGTCTATTTTAAAAAAGAAACTGAATTTACCCTATGAACGTCAGGAGACCAGAAATGGGCTTCATGAATGAGCATGCCACTAGAGTTACTCATCAGCTCCTAGCTGTGAACTGGTCTAACTCCCTCTACAGTTTCTGGTATAACAGGCAACGTGCCACTTTCCTGTGATTCCATGAGGAAATAGGCTGGCGTAAAGAGAAACAATGGGAATGAGTGGTGGCCCTCTACCACCATGAGTGCGTGGTATCAGGGATAGCACTTCCCACATGGGAGAAAGGCCTCCCACCCCCAGTGTTAAGACTTGAGTGGAGGTAGGGGTAATATAAAAATACACCCACCAGTCAGAAAGGACTCTGCTCTTATAACGGTACAGAGTGCTGCAGACCATCTGCTGGTCCCTTAACCATTTAGTAACTGAATTGTGGATAGGTCCTGGGGTTCTCAGAGAGGGTTCAGAGTTCAAAGGCAGAGAGACATTCTTTAGGGAGATCAAAAAAAAAAAAAAAAGCAACTGTGCCAAAGGATGAGGTTTCAGCACTGTTAACACTATTCTGTCCTTATCAGTAGTGCAGGTCAACTGGATGTCAGCAATGGGTAGGGAGAAAATCATCCTGGAAAGCCATCCAAACCACATGGCAGAGAACAGCATGCGTGAGTTTTAAATATCTACAAAATACAAACTAAAAAACCAACATTACAAAGCAAAAGAAGAAACTTAAAACTATGAGAAACAGTTGGTAAATATGTCAAAAGAAAGAAATCACACCCAAGGAAAGAGAAATAATGTAGGAAATATGAAAGTTAAAAGTGATGAAGGACAGTGATTTTTGAAAGATAGGAAACAAATGAGGTGAGTCCATAAGAGAGTTTTCAGGCCAGTGGAGGGGGAGTTAGCCCAGGCACATCCCAGCAGATTTCTTGAGTAAAGGAGAAGGAATAGAGTGTCTTGGGAAGACCAAGACAGCTAGTTT